AAAAGGGGAAAGGGGAAAGGGGAAAGGGGAAAGGAAAAGAGAGCTTAATTAGTAGAAACAAATTATTGTTACAGTGTATTTCAGCTTGGAAAGAAGTAACTCTCTTGGCCATGCCCTTCCTCAGAGTTCTACCAACTCAGAGGACTGGGAATATTTTTCTCAGGAAGATGTGTCAGTGTCTTACCTTGTTTCTTATGTGTTACAAGTTAGCAATTAGCTTCTTTCTGGGGAAGGCTTAAAGGAAATGGACTTCTTGTATCATTAGATAGTGTAAGGTTTCTATATCTCACTGTCAGGGGCCCCTTCAGGCCACTGGTCTTTTAAATTCTGTGGAGTGCTGCATTGGGGATCCTGAGAGGGATGGCTAAGAGCACAGAGTCTTAAGTGGAACTGCCTGAGTTTATATCCTTGGTCTGTATTTACCAAGCACACAACCCAGGTCAAGTTATCTTACTTCTCTGGTCTTCAGCTTTTTGTCTATAAAATGATAATAATAAAGGTACTTAACTCAAGGCTGGGAGAGATGGCTCAGCAGTTAGTGCTTACCGCTCTCAGTTTCCAGTGTCCAAATGGTACAGCTTACAACTGTTTTAACTCCAGCTCTGGGAGAATCTCATTCCCTTTTCTGGTCTCTGTAGATACTGTACTCACATTAACACTCCCCCTCCATATACACATAAAATAAAATCTTAAAAAACAGTACCTGTGTCAGAGTGGGTCAGGTGAGGCAATGCCGGGGCAATACTTAGAACAGTCCCTGGCATAGTAGTCTTTTCTATCTCTTTCAGGAGTTAGAAACACAGGCTTCAAATAGGAATCAGAAAGAATTTGGATTTAGGCTTTATTATCTATCTCCTGCTTGTCCTTGCATCTTGTTTCTCATAAACTGGGGTAAGAATTACTACTTTGTACAGGTGCAGTGGGGAAAAATTGAGATAGTAAATGTAAAATACTAGAGGCTAAGAATGAATTCGACTAATGAAAACTGCTATCATGTTAGCAGGTGGCAGCTGCTGTTTCCACCTTCAGATGGGTTCAACTGCTCATAGCTGGAAACTCATAGGCCCTATGTATTGACCAACGGGGAGATGAGGAGAGCACAAAGTATGGGATAGATGGGTGAAGAGATGACACTGGACTTCCCATTTGTGAGCAGGTCCTAGACAGAATAACCTTAGCTGAATGAGACCTAGCCAGTGTCTCATACAGGTGAGTCTGACCAAACCCACAGATGCTGTGAGCTAACAGACCAAATACACATGCCATAGCTGGACCAAAGTGGCTTCGTGGGAAGAAGACATCTAGTTAACCAGTCTCTCCTGCCCCCAACTCTCCCTCCTCTCTCCTTTTCTTTTTTCTCTCCCTTCTCCTCCTCTTCCAAAAAGGATCTAATCCTTTAGTTCAGGATTTCCCCAAACTCACACCAATCCTCCTGCCTCAGCCTCATGAGTGCTGGGATTATATTCCCACTGTGCCTGGCTTCAGTTGAACAGACTTCCTTGGAGAAAAGGTTTTTAGCATACATATCAAAGAATGTGTATGTTGATGAAAATAAGTTGTAGTAAGTACAGGCCAAGGAGTTACAGCATATCATGAATAGCTTTGGAAGTTTGGCCATGGAATCTTTCCTAACTTAGTAGAAACGAGAGAACACTGAATTGCCAGGAGCAACTGGAGTCTGAAGGGTAATCAGCCTGTCACGGGCAAGATAAATGCTGGTTTAGAAATTTACCCACTGGTATGTTGGGTCTGCTATCAAATTTTAAAAACTCTTATTTTTTATGCACATGAATATTTTACCTGTATGTATGTACACCATGTTTGTGCCCGATGCTCCCAGAACTGGAGTTACAGACTCCTGAAAGCGACCATGTGGGTGCTGGGAACCCAACAGTACCCTGGTCCTCTGCTAGAGCAGTAAGTGCTTCTAACTGCTGAACCATCTCTCCAGCTTCTTCTGCTCTCCGACTTTATTCGGTGGTGTTATGGGAAGTTATCTGGAAAAGAGATAAACCTGCCAGAGTTTTAAAGGAAAAATAGTCCCTTTACATTATTAGAAAATAGAGTATTTTCTAATACTCTGCCTAGGTGCATGAGGTTCTTATTGTCAGACTGTCACATTACTGCATAGTAACTAGAAATAATACACATTTGTACTTGATTGTTGTGGACATCTACACAGGTGAGAAATTATAGAATGTATAGCATCAAACAAATACACAGTGATGTGCACAAGTTGATCTGGAAAATCTGCCTGAAAATTAATACCCCGACTGGGATATAATTTTGGCTGACATGGCGTGGAGAAGAGCTGGGCAAAGTGAACAAAGAATGACTCTGTATTACTTTTTACAACATCATGGGAGTCTTCAATTCTCTTGACATACAATTTTAAAAATGCATCAGTGAAAGGTATTTTTGCCTTAAAAGCGCACTGGTAAACGTTGTTTCCGAGCAAACGCGTACAGTGAGTCCCATTCGCTTTCCTGAGTTAAGCACGCTCCAGGAATCCTCGGGCACAAAACAGGCGCCATTAGTTTGATCTGAAGCCAGAGCTGAAAGAAGGAAGTCCCGGTGCTGGAAGGGCCGTCTCCTTTCTGGGAAACTACGGACTGCAACCGGCCCAAACTGCTAGCATGTCTGTCCCAGCCATCGTTAACTTTACCCGAGTTTCTGAAGTACTGCGGCATCGTCCACTCCAAAAACAGAGTTGAAACCGTTTATGATTGATTCTTACTTTCTCCATAAAGAGACGGCGCGAAGCTGCTTTTTGCAGCCAGAAAGACTTTATTTATTTATTTTTAACCGAGTGCAGGATTTCTGGAGATTCAACTCGCAGCAGGAGTGAACTCCACTTCTAGAAAGACAGGGCAGGAGACAGGCGAGGATTCCGCGGCGCTCCAACCCAGAGTCTGCAAAGCCCAGAATTTGTGCGAGCGCCGCGAACTTGGGTAAAGCGAAACGGCTTGAGGAGGAGCGGAGGGCTGGGGAAGCCGCCCACTCCGGCCTCAGTTTCCTGAAGAGCAACCACCCTTACAGCCTGAGAGCGTCGTTGCTTGCGCACACCAGGAGGGGGTAAACTGAGGCACAGCAGGCGGAGGGCGCACACCCGGCCTTCCTAGTACACAGCCGCCCCGCCTCGGACCGCACAAAGCCCTGAGCGCGCGCCACCGCGCGCGGCTCGCTCCCTGGTGGGCGCCAAGTCCCGCCCCACGCTCCCCGCCCCACACCATGACGTCACCGCGGCGGCAGGCCCCACCCCTCCCCGGGCCCGGCGGCATGACGTCACCGAGGCCCCACCCCTCCGGAGCGAGTTCGGTCCTGGCGTTCATTTCATTCCTGTCCTCATTCCGTACATTCTTCGCATCGCTCGCGCCGCGCCGCGCCGCCCGAGCCGAGCCGAGCCTCCGCGGCCCCGCCGCCCGCTGCGGGCGCCCCCCAGCACTTCGCACACTCGCTTCCAGCTCGCGGGGAGTCCGCGCGCCGGGGCCCGGGCCCGGGGCGGCCGCGGCGG